TTATCAGTCAAACTTGGTTGTTGTTTGTTTGTTCTCTGAAGTCCATTGACCAGAAGGATGTCGTATATAGTTTACACGTTTTACGGTTGTTGAAGATTCGGACTATTAAAATGACAAATAATACACATTGAGTAAAACAAATTACCTTATGTTTTAATATAGTCCGGTAATTGGAAGAACGAAAGCTTACGCTGTTTCTCAATATTTTAGAGTATCTTTCACAGAGAAACCTTTGATATACATTTTAATGGGGGAAACTAGGGAGAAGAAAATCCTTTCGGACTTATCAATATACATGCAGAGATTTTACCCGAAATTCTGTTGTGATTTTGTTTTATTACATAAAACAAGCTGTTCATACAGTTCATTAGAAATTTAATGTTGATTATTATCTGCCATAAATCATTATTATGACAAAGAGTAAAATGTCTGAGATTCATGTATACCAATTAATATGTAATAACGATGATCGCATTCGATACAAGAATCAGATTTTTGTTTGGTTTATTTAATTCCTGATCAACAGATTAAGTTATCCTGATAGATTATGAAAGACTTTTCCGTCACTCTGTTAGGTGTTTCGCTTTCAAAAACATTTGAACAAGCCACCAAGACATGATGGTATGTTTTTTTAGATTGTTTTATTTACCTAGTATTCGTAAAGAAACAACAGTTTCTACCAAATATTTGCCTTCACTAGTCACTTCTGAAAGAAAATAATTATCTTCCAGCACCCAAGTAGAATCTATACATATACATATAAACCTAGAAAATTCCATGTAAATAAAGTTAGATTTTGTGAAGCATAATTCCTTGGAGATGGCAGTGAACAACTCAGTTACCTGACAAAACTAATGTAAAAAACTTAATACTCAATGAAATTATAGCTATCTCGACAATTTGAATAAAATTTAATATTTTGCCATTTAAAAATCTAAAGTTTGTTAAATGTCTGGTAAAAAAACCACTTTATCACAGGAACTGATGTTTTGTTCTTTATGCCTAATAATATTATCAAGTGACAATAAGATGTAGGTATTTACAAACATGCAAAGTTTCATGCCGTTTAGAATCCTAAATGTGAAGTCAGTACGAAGACAGCAGTTATACTGACGTGTGAACTTCTGCGTTGTAACTGAGTAAAAGAATAACTTAATAAAAAACAAAGAGAAATGGAAATCGTATCAGTAGTAGAATACTATGAACTTATATCGATTCGATTTTTTTATTTATTCGCACAGTAAAGTGATGATAAATAATTGATTAGACATGAATATGTACTTCAATACAAACTATAACTGAAATATCAATTTTTAGGAAATATACGGCAACCGCAACCATTGAATGTAAATACAGGGTGATTTTATTTCAGATTCACTTCTTTATGTGGCTATTGAGTATTTGTTCTTGTATGTACACAGTCGAATCACACTTGTTTTAATCTTATATCCAGTTCATAGATAACATAGCTGAAACATAATGGAGCGAAATGAATAAAATTTAGTGAAATAGATCATTTAGTTTGGGATCGTGAAATACGGATAACATAACAATGAAGAGTGTCATTACCAAGTCATGCATTAATAATAATAAAGAATGTCGTCTAATATTTTAAGTTATTTTTTTAAATGAAAAATAGTGTCACACTTATCTCTGTTCTTATAACTCTTGTCAGAATGAAGCAAAATATTAATAAAACTATTTTCAATATATTTTACTTTAACTACTCTCCGCTAATACCAAGGTGTATCAGTTTCATTCTTCATTACATAGTCAATAAGATATATATAGTTTGAGTTTCATATTCTCATAATATAAACACTGATGAGTTAACTAAACACTGTGAAACCAATTAGCGATAACTTATAGCATTGTCTAGTTACTAAGATATACTCTTGGTCATCAGCATGATTCAAAAATTAGAGAATTTAGGAGTTTATAATACATATTCAAACCAGATGCTTTAGAAAAAAAGCAGATTGATCAATATGATGAGTAAATGTGAATAAGAAACGCTAGCACATTATCATGAATCGATTTGAATTGAACAGTGAATTCCCTCTTATTGGTCTACAGTATAGGCGTTCACGTGCAGTTGCGAAGGGCCTTGGTTTTATTCGCCGTAGCTGGCGGCTAGTCGACCTGTACTGTTAGGAATGTCACATTTGGATGAAACTGTTGTTATGTACTCCTTGATTTTCAACGGCTGTTTAACTTATGTTGATTGGTGATTGTACATAATGTAAATGTGTTAGCCTAGTAAGGAAGCAAGATAATATGTACATTGTACATCATAGAAGCTCAAAACAATTAATCGTTTTTACTCAAAACTGGTTGTTTTAAATTGCCTAAAGTATCTTGAAATGAATGAATGCGTAATAAGATAAATTTATAAATCACAATATCTTGTTATAAATTGCCGTGTCGTTTGCATTCATTTTTATTTAGGGCTTTAAATTGAAATAATTAATGTCTGTAATTGTGATTTCGCTACGCTCTCTACCCACAGTAATAGTTTTTTTTAAAATAATTCTTATAGCTCGATGTCGAGTGAATAATAGCACTAGAAATTTTTTTTCACCAATTCGAATATCTAATCATTTGCACCTGTTTTCTGATATTACTTGCTGTAGTCACAGAAATGATTCATTAAGAAAACATTTTTCTATTCATGTTAATTACTAATATGGTAGCCAGGTGTTTTCACTGAGTGAAATATCATGATATACTTGTCTGAAATATTGATAACTGTAAATTAATGAGATACGAGAAAGTAATTATCACATTTAGACTACGCTCTAAGCTGTATGAAATACATTTTTATCAAAATAATTAACACAGTTTCATATGTAGTTGTGATTTGAATTATTTCATATGCGTATTAATACAAAGACGTTTTGACTAGAAGTTTTGTAAACGTATGAGCCAGGTATAGTCTATATAACATTGAAAGAATGTCGAAGAATTATTTTGTTAAGGTAATCTAATTTTACTAAATGAAATGATATCAATCAAACTGTTTTTTCCAAATAAAATTTATCATAATTCCCCTGAGGTATTCAGTTAAAATGCTAATTAGAAAGGTTTAGTAAAAAAGTATTCCAGTATTTTTTAATACGTCCTTTTGAAAATGACGGAGTGATCACTATCTTATAGAAAAGCAAATTTACTCCTCATATTTATGTTTGTAAATAATTGTGGGTGTATAAAATAAGTTGCTGAGTGATGAATATTCTGTCATATTAGTGAAAAACTATGTCCTTTACATTGAGACAAGTTCAATGTTATGAATACCTGACAGAGTTATTGCACAATTGTTGATTTTGCTGAATTAAAAAAGTGTAGACAATGGTATTCAGATTTTAAAATGTTTGATGATATCTATCTGCAAATGAAATTAGCACTTTAAATTTTGATAAGAAACACTAACATGTCCATTTCTGAAGTGAATGGTACCATGTAAGAAGAGTATAAAAATATCCTATATTAAAATTATCATTGTCTGCACAAAACATTGTTTAGGTAAGTAATTTGAGCCATTTAAAGATGTTTTTACAAATGTATATACAGGCATCTAAATGTTGACTCTAAAGATTTCTCTGAAATGTGAAAATACTAATCTAAAATGAGATTATTTCGGTTGAAATTTTTCAAGAGTTTCGTTAAGTCAGAATCTTACGTTAACATGAACTTGCATTACGTTTTCTGTCTTTGCTAACAATTTCTGACAATAAGATAATTCATGAAGTCATGAATCAATCATTGTTAGACCGCCATTGGAAACTTAGAAGTACTAAACGGCCACTTCATCCTGGTACAGGACTAATCGCAGGTTTCGGACCTATGACCTTTGGTCTTGCGCGCGAATGCTCAACCACTGGACCACTGACCCAGAATCCAAAGGTGTTAATGTCTAGTTTTGATCAATCTAAAGATTTTGATATGCACCTAAGGAATATTTTCATGGAATATATGAATTCCACTCTACCAAAGGCTGTTATAGAATAAAGGGGCATTGATTAGTTAATATAACAAGTTTGAAACGCTAAGAAACAATTAACGCTGATCAACTAGTTATTCAATGTTTACAGATTGATTTTCGATATATGATGCATTTTGGCTAATCCAAAGATTATCAGAAAATTTTGTGATAATCTTTGTCTATCTGTTCTTAATCTTTGATTATTTACTAACCTTTTTTACGTGAAGATTCGTTCTAGTTAGTCTCATAGTAACAATAATATTAGTACGAGTGTTATTTTCAGTGCTGTATTAACTCTGTTAGGTTTGAAATTAATTGTAGGGTAACTGTCAGGACGTTAGATCCCCAGGACTCGCTTGATAAATGCCTTATTTCGGATTTCAAGTTTGCGAGCATGGGCTGATCAGTTAACCTTGAGACTTCATCTCCCACCAGGAAAATCACTGGCTATGATTGGCTGCTGTGTACTTTAGTGTGCTATTTTTTTGACTGTCCCAAGAACGTTTCTATGATGTATAAATAGACGAGATTTGTGTGCTTGTTTGGATTGTGCTTTCTGGGTGTTTGTAGAATATACTTTCTTAGCAACATCAAGACCTGTATTAGTCAACAGATTAGGGTAGCCTACCTGGACGCGGGCTTATTGTCTCGTTCGCGTTTATAGACTAAAGTGAACCCGTAATAGTTTCAAGCATACCTAGTGATAAACCTAACGGTAACAATATGAAAAACTTTCGAATGAATCAAGATGTTTAGAAATAGGGTGGTGTGAAACTTTTTTGACTTTAACTAATAATTAATTATTTCTAATAACAATAAAGAAGACCGAATATTCTATCCTCAAGTGGTACCTTGACTTTCCTGGCTCAGAGAACAAAGAAAAAACAGAAATCTCCTTTAGTTATTCGTGAAAATTCTTATGATTGAACAGAATTCTAAATTTTGCATCAAAGAATATTTATTTGATAATTTATTTTTGAATCGTATGCTTCAAAACTCATCATTTCTATTTATGTAGATTGCTGATTTTGGATTTGTTAAACACGTGAAATATCGGACGTACACATTGTGCGGTACTCCTGAGTATTTGGCTCCAGAAATTATTCAAAGTAAAGTAGGTAGTTATGTTTCATTTCATTGATCTGTTCAAAAATCTAATTAAATTTAATTTGAAATATTACTATTACACACTTATGCCAAGTTATGATGATAAAAAGTGTTGTTCATTTAAGTTCCACTTATTTTAAGATTCATGACAATTGGATTTATTCAGATAGTTTTTTCAACAATTTCTTATCGGAACAGTCAATATACAAAAATAAATCTTCATACAGAAATTTGAATTCTTCGCCGGAATACATTTTAACCACTTTTCTGTCTATTCTCACAACATTTTGAATAAATCCGAACACACAGTCATATTTATCTTTGATTTGTGCCAGAGATGTGAAATAATAAAAATCATAATCGATATTTTTCAACCGTGGAACGATAAATCATTCGAATTCTTATTTCATTGTCAATGTTTATCTATTTGCAATTTTATCAACTCTTTGGTTAGTCCTTCATAGATCACAGTCATTTTATTACTTGACAACCAGTGATCTAAGGCAGAAAAATGTGCTCTTACCTTTCCACCAAAATATATATGTATCTATTACTATAAGATTTTGTCTATAAAAACAAATTATTATTTAGGTTAGAAAGAGTGAATGGTTGTTTAAATTTCGTAACCATTTTGTTACAAAGCATTAAACATGAATAAACTATAAGTCATTTATTTCCATAGGCTTATAGGGAAATTGTAACCACCAAATAACTATATTATTAGTTTTCAGGCAGAGTTCTGGAGGTTTGTGATTTTACACATTTGAAATCATCAATCAATCATTGTTAGACCACCATTAGAAACCTGGAAGCACTGGACGGCCGTTCCGTCCTGGTATGGGACTCATCAGCAGTGCGCATCCACGACTCCTGCACCTCACAGGATTCGAACCCGTGACCTTCTGTATTGTGCGCGAACGCCTAATCATCGGACCACAGAGCCGGCATCCTACGGTGTTAATGTCTAACTCTGATTGATCTACGGATTTTGCGTGACCTCACCCATTTTTCTTTGGTAGTTACTGCCTACAATCGACAGGGTTCAACTCCATTGGTCATATCTTTTCAACTAGAACTCCGAGAATTTCCTTACGAAGCTAGTCACCAGTGAGTCGTGGGTGCGCACTGCTGATGAGTCCCATGCCAGGACGAAACGGCCGTCCAACGCTTCCAGGTTTCTAATTGTGGTCTAACTATGATTGAATAATGATTTCAAATATTATTAATTGTTGGATTCACATAGTTTATGCCTTGTGCACAATAAATAAAAAGTTTCGAGCAAGACGGATGACAATAAAGTGATGATAAATTTCGATAATCTCTAAGGATTTATGCATAATTAATAGGCTGACTGTGAAATTCACCTAGGTAGATTATCAGTAAACTAATAATGAGATATATCCATCTGATTTTGAACAATTTCAGGTGTTTTGCTTACATGTGTACAAAAAAATTAGATCTTTTACACTTAAACAATATACAACTACAAAGTGTGTATTATTTTTTCTCTCATTAAGACATTGAATCTAGTTTTCATGTATAAACAACAGTAACACTTTTTTAGCCAGCATCAGTCATTCGTAAATTTATCAAGTTAACTGTATCAATAGTAATTACTTCGGTTTCTATTCGCTCAGTGACAATTGGTATTGATTTTAGTGATGAGGTCTATTTATCTTTGATTTTTTTTTAAAATGATTAACTATCACTGAAGTTATGTGCATAAATGAAATCGTAAAGACTTTGTCGAATACTCAATGTTTAAATTTCTAATGACAATTATCAGAAAGTTCATTTGTAATGAAGCATTTAATTTACGATGTAAATTCTCAAAACATTTTTCTCGATTGATATGAAAAATGGTATTTTACACAGTGTGCATTGGTGTATTCAATGTGTTGAATTGCCACTGATACAACCTTACTAGAGCATAACAATAATAATAATAATAATGATAAAAGTGATAAAAACCTACTTAACATAAAACCAAACAGTTATACTCCAATACTGGCTCGTTTTTTGGTAGCTGGAAAAAAGTTCCATCAGTGACTAATATTAGGCAACTAAAAGTTAAGCAGCACAAGTTTGCGATATGCTTGGATGGCATTTATGCTGTCAAAAACTCACCAGCTTCTTTGCCTCGATCCTTTGCAAGCTTTGCTGTTTCGTAGATCTCAATTTTCATAGACCAAATTCCTGATTTAATAGATGATTGCTTAAGCTAAGTAGTGAAATTTTGACTGAGATTACTGACAAGATAATAAAATAGATCGACTATAGTATAATCAACCCCGTTTGTATACGAAAATATGCTACAACTACGAAATTTTATTTCATTAGAGTTTTTAATGATTTCTGCAACAGAAATGAATAAGTCTTTTGCCTCATCACAGTAAACATTTGATTTTTATGATTATAATAGTGAAGCAAGTAAAATAAATGAATTGTATATGTTTCAAGTTATGGTGTCAAGTTTATAGTTTGAGTAACTGCTCATCTATCGGAAATAAGCACAAACAATGATATCTTCAAATAATGATGGTTTAATAATTTAAAAAGAGGTGGAAACGTGAGCACAAACATATTTACGTGATAAAGTCGTATACTACTGAAGGATGAAGTATAAATTAAATAACGGTACTTATTAGTTTACTCTTATATGTCATTTGATGAACGAGATACTACATTATTTGACATGATTTCTCAAATATAACTTAGATTTTTTAGATTGGGCACATCAAACTCTTTATCAAAAGTGCAATCTATTTTGAGACTAATCTCTTAAGTATTACTCAAGATTACAAATTATTTCTTAAATAGAGTACATATAGGCTGCAAACGTTTCAGCAAAAGTAAGATTAACCAACCTACGCAATCAATTACTTATGATAATTTTAATTGCAAGTTATCATCAACCTTTAAATATGACAATTAACTCAGGTGTTTCCATGCATTGCAACAAATCAAATGTCTAGATTATTAAGTGTTATTTTTACTTGAATGTTTAAATGAACACTACCATCCACTTAGCATCTGTTTGTTTCCAAATTTAAACAGTGAAAAGGCGAAAAGAAAAATGGAATTATACGGTTTCTGTTTTCATAAACAAGGTAATATAGAAGTTTAGACAATTTTATTTGATATTTTGTAAATTTGAATATATATTTTTAGGAAAAAGAATGACTGAAAGAAATAAGTCATAGAATCTAAGTTTATTAGTTCCATGTAGTAATCATCATCTGAGCATTGGAAATACAAAGCGAAACTGAACAAATGATGATAAATTTTGGCATAACAATAATAATCCTAATATAAGTTGATGATAATTGCTTCTTCTATGATAGGTGTTATATCTGCTTTGATTCACGTACAGTTTATCTTTTCACAAATTGTCTCAGCTTTTTTGTAGACCTAAACTGATTATTCACATTGTCAATTTCCAACTAAAACTTCTACACAGTATTAATTTTTCACTCATTGATAACCTTGCTCTGAACAGATTAAGTTTGTTAGTGATGATTACATTGTTCATCTAGAACTATATTTTTATATATGTAAATTCACGAAAGAGTTTTTTCATTGGTTTCTGAAACAGAACTTACAATCGTCTCAACGTTTAAATTGTTTTCCTTCATGTTTAAATGATAACTATGCTTTGATCATGTGTTTTTCACACTTGATTAAGTCAAACAGAAGGCGAAGCTGTATTGCTGTATTTAGTTTCGTAATATCAAATGTTAACAAAATAAAACACTCCTTTTATTTAAAATATCTTTAAATGTAATTGACTCAAATACACATATCATTGTAACACTGGATATGTATTAGAATATTTGTCAACATATTTTCCAATTTTTTTCTATTTTAACTTTCTCCATGATAACAGTGACAAAAAGAAGATTGATTGATTTTCGAAATATCGCAAAAGATAATGTGTAGGTAAACAGATAAATTTTAGTTTGTCTCAAGACTGATAGTTGAAAGTGAATGTGGTTGTCTTTTTTGTTTATCACATAGTAAGTAATATCTTCTCCTGTGATTTAATACTTATATCAAGTATTGAAAACTGGCTGATGCATTCTGTAAGACGATCATTAATAAAACAATGTTTAGTCATTCATTGAAGCGAGGTTTCTATGTGAATACTTGCGTAACATAAGTTTACACGAATTTTAATAAGTGATTTCTAATGAAATGCCTCAATTCAGTTAGCTAATTATGGTAATCTGAACTCTGATCAATATATATTGAACAGTAAACAGACTCGTAGCTATGGTCGTAGTGTTTTACTTCTGATATGTACATTATTATTGGATCAGGGCGTTTGTGCTGTAATCCTGTTTATATTATTTCTATAGTAGACAAGTACACAGATCTTCAATGCACTTAATTAGACCCTTGAAAATATGGAATTCATGTTTGTACAATGTAAATTTCTCACTATTACTGAAAGTGAATAGGTATATGTCATGTGCAATAAATTTGTTGTCAAATTTAATGATATGATCATTTGTTCTACAACACATTCTATGAATTGTTTTAAAGAAATTCACTTAAGTTTTATTAACACAATAAATAAAGTCTTCTCATTTTTGGATTGTTGCATATGTTTTAGTGCAATTGTTTTCTAGTTTTTTTTTAAACTTTTTTTCCAGTATAAAACTTTTAGTCCTCTTACTAAAAAAATTATATATATATATATATATATATATATATATATATATATATAATTCTATACTATGATAAAGAATTCATAGAATTAAGTTTCATAAACATAAATTTAAAAAAATTAAAACTAACAAACATTGGACAACAACAACAACTTATGAATGAAATATGGACTAGTTAAACGAAACCATTGGTTAAAATTCACATTGTATCAAGACAGAGAACACTGTACACAAGCACAATATTTTTTTATTCATGAAATGATTCTATTTTGGAATATTGACGAGAATAAGTTTTCAACTTGATATTATTAATGAACTTAATAATCTTAGCCTTTAATTCATGATGACCCCATGTAAGCGAAAGGAAAGTAGAATTAACAATGTTTTTTTAAAAAAAAAACTATTCTTTATCACAAGTATACTGTTTCGAAGTAGTGTAATGCATGTTAAGCTTATCTTGTATCATAGTTAAAATAACTACAGATTATTTCAAATAATTAACTAGGAATGGTGATTTCGAAATATCATTCAGTATTCATCAAAGCAATTTATGCTTTTCGAACCAGCAGAATGGATGCTTATTTTATTACTGACTATGTATTTAAAAAGGTAGTTGTTACAGTCAGATATTTTAGCTCCTCATCGTTTGATTTGAATGAACAACATTCCAAAAGAACTATAACTAGTTACCATAACATTATTGTGACTGTTGAAAAATTCAAACATGATAGTAAAGTTAGACTTTATTGACTAACTTGATTGTTGATGTTAAGTTATATAGTCTTTATACTTGAAATTTTTATGTAATGTTATATTTGGTATTTTACAAACATCATCTCTAAATAAAAAAAACTGCTTATCCAGACAGGACCTGGAGATTCTGTTCACTTTTTTATTATCATAATTTCAGTGACTCTATGTAAATGTATCAATAATGAATATAATAATTTTATCGTTCTGGACAGTTTTACCAGATATTTCTGATTGGTTTTTAAAGGTTCTTTTGAATCTTCTAGTGACTGTTAAGTATCTTACTTTATTGGTCTCTTGCTTTGATGTATGCATTTTACTAAAAGTGGAGTAGTCTTTGGAACTGGAGTCCAAAACACGTCTTTTGTCGTATTTTTGGCTATTTCGCTTGATGTACCAAACGTAAGATTCAAATCAACCTTTTAGAAGATGAATTACAGGTTGTTGCGTAAGCTAGTGGTTAAGTGGGATATTGTTGGACTTTGGAGAAAAGGTATTAGATTTGAGTTCTTGGGTGAATATCAACTCAGTTACTGATAAATCGAACCCTTAAATAGGAAAAAACATGCTTCCTTGATCCTATTGTTAAGCATTGTTGAACTTTGTTAAAAGCTTTCTAAATGATCATTTATCAGCTGAAATAATCATCCAAATGTTTAATAGGTTACATTTGTGCCACAGCGTATATCCTGACCATTTAGATTGTAGAAGACATGCATATTTAATTATTCCAGTGGTCTGTTAAGTTTGTAATCGGCTTTCTACGGGTTTTATTTACAGTTGTGAATAATTTTTCTGCCGTTTGTTGTTAAAAGAAATACGCTTTGAACCGAAAAGCTTTGAGCGCAAGTTACTCTCTATTTTAAACATATCTACTTAGGCGGTATTATTAAAGGTTATATCAAGTGCAAATGAAGTCTTTTATAAACTTAATATTACGAACGTTTTAAGTCTATCAAGTCATTATGAATGTGACCTAAATTCACTTTGAGCGTCACTTACAACTAATCGACACTTTACATTTGTCTTTTCGACTTCCAGTAATATTCTATTCCCTACAGATGTGCCCCCAACCTAATTACCACCATGAATGGTATTTGATATAAAGGCATTGAGCTAGTCATTAAACATAACACCACTAGTACAAAATAGTAACAATCTATATTTGACACAATTTTAGTTTCATGTACATAATAATTTTGTTGATGAGTAAAATTTTGAAAAAAGTTTCTTTCAAGTTGAGTTTTCCATTTATTATTGTTGTTTTTATTCCACTCACTTTTGTTTTCACTATATTTGCAAAAACACAAAGAGCATTTGTTATTAATTCGCATTGAATTGTTCATATTTTGTGCATCTAGTAAACTAAGAGGCATCAGTATTAAACTTTCTTAAAGAGTATCTTTAAAAATTTACAAAATATCATCAATCAGTAAATTAGTAAACAATAAATTATTGACTGAAATGTTTACCTTCTAATGACCTGTATGTTCTTATTATGATATTAAATTCAGTAATTCTTTAAAATAGCACATTTCAACCTAAATGATCAGAAGGCTTGAGATTGTAGGATATTAGGAGCTTAATGACTGGCCCATTACAAAGTCCGAAAAATACTAACTTCCACATTCGTGACTGAATTTTAGTTGTTACCTAAACTTTGTTTCATTTTGTTGAAATATTGAATCAATAAATATTAAACCGACAATGAGAACTTGAACCACTGGACGGACATTTCAGCTTTAAATAAAACTTGGTAACGCGCGCCGACGGCTGTGGAACCTGGAGCTGAATCTAGGACCTTACGTGTTGAGCGCAAACACCTAGCCCCTAGATCGCTGAGCCAGCATTCAGCGTTGTTAATATCTAACCTTAATCAATTCAGCATTTTGCGGGACTATTTACCATTGTCTTTGGTGGTAAATGCTCACATCTGACACGACTCGTCATAGCTACTCACTAGGATTCTGCGGATCCACTTACGAGGCTAGCCACCAATTAGTACATAGCGATTCCCACCATTTGGCTTATTTATTTTATTGTAACATAACTGTAGCAATATTCTCTCTTCTGCAGATTTAGTGGAACTAATATTTTGTTAATCGTATCACATAAATGTTTAAGACAAATAATCATAATGACTTTTATGATATGTTATTATTCATAGTCGTCAAATAGTTGATTTAATTAGGTTAAACGGTTACATAGGTTGTCACTTGATACTGTATGAAGGTTTTAACAGAATTATGCAAAGAATAAATTTTAACGGTGTAGTGTCATACACAAAAACAGTCATCAGTTTTTTTTCACTTATCATTGTATATATATATATATATATATATATATATATATATATATATATATAACACGCGTTATCAGCAGTCACCGAACAGTGGATCAGATCTAAAATTGCAACATACAGAGTTAACTTAACACTTCACACCAAGAGAGAACAAAATGTACGTCCACGGCACTCTTTTATTTGAAAATTAAAATACGTGGGGTTTCTACAGAAAAAGGGTGGGTAGGGTACCAAAGTCTTATGAGTCAGAATGTAAGTTCAGAGCACTCAAAGCTCGTTCTTCAGCTTCCAAATGTTTATGTTTGATCGCCCCGAAATCGAAAGAAAACAGAACGGGCTAGCAACATCATTCATGGGGAATTTGACTCCATTAAATATATAAAAGGTGAAAGGTTGAAAGATTTTAATATTTTTCTTAAACATAACTTGGTAATTGTTTAAGATAAACGGTTGTAAACTATAAATTATGACATTATATTTGCATAGTTTGAATGTTTCAATACTGAAAATTGTAGATGAATCATGTGACATTCTCATTTGTTCAGTGTTATTTCTTTTTTGTTTTGTAAAAGCTAATTACGACTATTATTAAGTGTGATTACAAATTTTTCAATGTATCAAGCACAATATATAAAATTAATAAAATAATTTTCGTTAAAAAGATATTTCAAAAACGCTGAATGTTTTATAATAAAGAGACTATCAAGTTTTCAATTACCTATACCAAAATCATTGTGATATTATCTGCTTTCTGTATCCCTAGTCAACGGAATATCATGTTCTATTTTTAAACTACCTAATCTGATCTATAATATTTATACTTTCTTTTCTGTTTCTCATTTTCATTAATCTTCATTTATTTCGATTCGCTTAAATATGTACTAGTGTACACACACAGAGCTTTTATACTATTAGTTTTCAGCTTTAGATAATGACCGACTCATATATTTGTTCTCCTTAACTGTCACCCACAATGTTACACTTAAATAATATCTGATACTATCAGTTGATGAGACAAAGAAATCATGTTTCCAATAAAAACACATTTGTAACCACACAAAAAAACTCTAAAAAGCGGAAAATAGGCAAAGCTAATAAAAATGTTGATCAAACAAATTGGCAAGCGTAAATGTACTGAGGTAATTAGAATGAGATTAATTGAATGTACCTATCGTTACATTACAATCTAATAAATAAGTTTCTGATGATTGTTTTCACAATGGATCGTTTGAAACTGATAAGCTATGAGAAACCAAAGAATACGAATTCAATATTTCAATTGAACACTAGCACGAAACAAATAAGGTTTACACAGATATACAGGCAATACGAAACCATTCACTTCCTAGGATAAGCATATGAATATTCGATAATTAACCCGGGTGTGAGAATTCTAAGTCGTTAAGCGTTGACCGACTTGAGGAATTTCAACTGTATCAAATGAACTTAGTAAATCATATATGTCAGATCAAATGACCAATGAGATTCATTATCTTTATTGATAATCAATGACACGTGAGAATCTGCCCACTAGTGACTAGCTTCATGAGGAATCTTCTCCGAGTTCTAGTGGGAAATCGTGACTAGTGAAGTTCAACCTGTTCGGGTGTAGACAGTAACTACCAAAGACTGTGCATGAGGTTGCGCAGCTCCGTGAATTGATCAAGTTAGACATTAACACCGTTAGATACCGGCCCAGTGGTCCGATGGTTAGGCGTTCGCGCACGATACAGAAGGTCACGAGTTCGAATCCTGCGAGGTGCAGGAGTCGTGGATGCGCACTGCTGATGAGTCCCATACCAGGACAGAACGGCCATCCAGTGCTTCCAGGTTTCTAATGGTGGTCTAACAATGATAGATTCATGGTTTCAAAAATGTATAATCTGAATCGTTATTTTTTATTTCACAAATAACTTGTATTTTTTTAAATTTCATTAACCAAGGCGTTTGACTGAAATAGTCGGACTGCATTTAATTGTTCATATATCTATGTATCAAGGTTAACCAACAAAAATAGTAGCTTGTTGGTTCAATCAAAAATTCAGTTTTTATAATTAATTTAATTCAAAATATTTGCTTAATAAATTTTAACCCATTTTATAAAATAACTGCTGCCTTTTTCTTCATACTATCATTTCTAGGGTTATACAAAAGCTGTCGACTGGTGGGCAGCTGGTGTTTTGATTTATGAAATGGTTGCCGGTCATCCACCGTTTTTTGCAGACGAACCAATCGAAATCTATGAACGCATTGTTATCGGAAAAGTAAGTCGAAGAACAAATTTATTTAGTTAATTTTTTCTCTCTAAACATCTGTTGTATTCATGTGTATTCTTTTCTCTAAAGTTTATACTAGTTATGAATAATTCATAATAAAAAAATTATTGCTTGCCACTGTATCATCATTTTGAACGAAATAATGGTGTTTACAGAAATAATTTATATCTTTTGTAAATAAATTCTCACAGAGCATTCTCTCGTAAAAAGGTCATTCATCAAAAGTTCATGCAAGTTATTAATTTTAATCTTGAAACATTTTGAAAAAGAGATAAACTTTAGATAATTTATCATTCGAAATTGTACAAAATTCAATCTTTATTAAATATTATCTATCGCGGTAAACATTACTATTGAATAAATAAATACATTACTGTTATAAACTAAGATATTAACGTTAATCATATTTACAAGGATATAAAGTTATTATTGTTTCATCAAACCAACTGATAAATGTTTCGTAATTTTTTATTTTGGGAAACTATTTTTTCAATGAAATTATTTACATTTATCGATTAAAAATATTACTTCCCCATATGTTACATTAGATAAGATGAACTTATTCTTCAGCTTAGTAATAAAATCCACTTTTTTGAAAACTGCAACATTTACCTTTTGCAGTCATGATAACTTGATAATCAATGAGGCTTCTTATTGTTGACATTTGTAAAAATGAACAATACATCAAATCGTCAATAATTTTAGTTTGGTCAGTTAAATTATTGGCAATTTCAATGAGAATATAATTAAATGAGACAGGAAAATATAAATTACCAATAAGAAAAAATTTCAAATTAACAAACGATTCTTTAAAAATGAAATTTTTAGATAGGCGACGTTAAGTTTTTTAAAGCTTCTGCTCAATACAATTTATTTCATTCTGACAATTATAAGTTTACTATATGAAAAAAGTCTGATATACAAGAAAAAAATAATACACAAATTGTCTGTGAGAAAACTTAAAGCATGCTTATATATATATATATATATATATATATATATATATAAAGAAAAAGGGAATATTCATTACTAGAAAGTACTGAAACTTCATTATTTTAACTTGTATAAAACTAAGGTTATTATTACATAGTTTAATTTATATTCTTCATTAAAACGTATTGATCACGTGCAACGATTATGCAAGACTAAACATTAGCCTTATCTCTTGAAATAAGGTTCATTCGATGTAAATCATACTATAAATAAATCAAGTAACTGGTTATTATCTAAAATGTTAAAATAGATATTTGGATCAAGTTATTCACAACTCAGTTTGACGGTAAAACCTTCTGAAAGCAGCTTTTGTACATTTTGTCTTTTTTTAAAAGAAAACAGTTTGTTATTCTTTTTGTAATGTTGATATTTTATTGAAACGTAATAAAAATGTCCATTGATCCATTATTTGAAATGGAACTCCTAGTGAACTTGATGGTTGATGAATTGACTAGTTTCCACAGAACTAATTTAAAATTGAACACGATTTAACCATAGAGATTATGTTATTACTTCAAAGTAAATTTGTATGGAAAACATCAAGAGTTCTCAGTTATTAAAAACATATTCTGTAATCTTGAAACCAAAACATGCATTCAATGATGAACGTAAGCACAAGGTTATGCATCTTGAGCTACATAAATTCAAAAACAGGATAATTGTAAGAACGTATATTTATAGCGTTTTTCGAAGGAACTTGTTCAGATTCTATAGATGTACGGCTTTTAACTGTTTGTTCGTAATTGTCCTCGGCTATATATATCACTTCGAAGTGTTGTTAAAAGTCTATATATATATAAACTGTTCCGTGATGGTTTCGGAACCTTAAACTAGTCTGCTTACACGAGTTGAAGAAAATCATTCGTTTACACAGCTGAGTATCATTGTAAATTTTAATTAAAGACCAATGTAAAGTGTCTGTAACAGTCATTGTGCTTTACTGAAAAACTTGAGGCTGATAATCCAGGGCATATTTTCTTTAGTTCCTAATGAACGAGCATTCAACTCCGTGGTAAAACAATTGTGATCTTGCTGGAGGAACACTACAGAAATAAATATCTTAGTACTTCTTGACATTCAGCCCCTTCCTCAAATAAAAAACTCTAAAAGTTTGTCTGTTGAAGTGAAGTATGTTTTATAAAGCTTCTATTGGAGTAAATTTTTATTCGTTCTTGTCCAATTATCAGTCGATGAAAAAATTGACATTTCAACAATGGGCGTTCTCTCCTCAACCATGTTATTTACTAAAGTTCTACAACTGTAATTACAATTATTTCATGCAAAGTAGTCCATAATAAGATAGCAGAATGTTACATTTGATGATGAAGGGAATAAAATACGATAAATGCTTACATAAAATAGCTTCTTTTCATGTACTTTGGCAACAGCTTACAAACAAAATCGCAAATGAAAATAAATCTTACCATTATGAAAAAGATATTCTACTCTAAAACTGTTAACATAGGGGATACGGCAGCTCTGATCTTGAAAACGCAGCAATCGAACTCCGTGATAGAAAAAAACTTCCATATGATTTTTCACCTGCATTTTTCCATACAAGATTGATTTTGAAGATTTGTCAAGGATAAACCTTTTAGTTAGGCCACATCAGTGAGTACATAAAAGTTTATTTACTCCCATCGAGCATGTTATGTTTGTCGCGCACTTTTTTAAGAATTACATACCAGTAACACAGTCAGTGTCTATCTAAAAGTGAATGTGCACTGATTATTAGTTCTGCTCTCAAACGTTTGGCCGATTCTGGCCATCTATATTCACATGAATTATCATCTACAACTGACTGGCGTCAACCAAACTAGATCCAATAGAATTAGGATGTTAGTTTTATTGAATATTCGAAATGTTTGATAACTTTGTCAACAACCCGATCGGTTCTCGTTATTCTGTTGATTACTTAATAATGAATATCTGTTTATTCGACTGTATAGTTTTCAGAAACAATATCATCAAACCGACAATTTTCTCCAAGCTATTTTTTTCCTTGCTTACAATATAAACAAAGCACATGTGATGGGAAATCGATACAGTGTCTCATTAATAAAGTGACATAAATGTCATTACACTGCATCATTAGATAAGGTTACTGCTAAACTGTTTACATATATTGAATGAATGTGAAAACGCTATTCATCCTCATAGTATAAATGGTCAACTATAATAAAGATTGTGAATGAATTAGACTCTCTACTGAATATGACACAAAATAATTAATAAGTCCACAAAATTCAAATTAAATTCCAAACATTCTCAATGATTACAGTGTAAATGGTGAATATTTCATCTATAAAACATTTTTTTTTTCCTCATTTCTTAAGCTTATTATTGGTGCTTGAAAAAATATTAAGTTAACATCTGAAAAGAAGTGAACAAGGAGATCCACTAAAGCACTTCAAAAATTATTTCTTTTAAAAAGCATTCCAATAATGAAGTGAAGTACTTAATTATTACGAAATAAAATTTACTAGATTTTGTATAATGTTCATTTGATTTTTACCGATTGTAATAATGTCAAAATTGTAACCAATATTCAGTTATTTACTGACTGTCGTGTTAAACTTTAATTGAGAGTACACTTGTTTTCATACTCGCATTATAATTTCTCATATATTCGACATTTTGATGGAACGAAATCAATGCAAAACTACCATTATCTATCCTGATCATCTAATATTCGTCACAGATGTATCAAGCTACTAATCAGCATGTTCAGTCATATTCTAGCTAATTCAGAATTGGAAAACTCCATTTGAAATGGAAATTTCAATATTTTCCAGTTTATTAATTGCTAAAAGGCTAAAGCATTATTGAGTGTTCAAAATCTCGAATTACATATTCAGGGCCTCTGACCAACTGATTACAAACGTCTAATAGTTAAACAAATGTACCTATTACTCAGGGAATATATATATATATATATATATACAATGTTCTAGGTAGTATGTAAAACTGTGTTTACTAAGAAAGGAAAACAGACGAAATACGAATGGGAAATAATAAGTTAACTGTATATATTCAACTATTTTCCTAGATCTTTTTTTAATTTGATTACCATGCAGTATTACTAGGTACAAATTGTTGATTCTTAACAAGTCTGACAACAAACTTTTTTTTGATTAGAAAATATTAGACAGATGAAAAAAGTGAGACAGTCAGTAAATTGATTCACGAACTTTGCTCAACTTCATATATTATCAGACAGATATAAAATATACATAGTAGCGAATTAGGATGTCGTAGACCTTAGTTAGATTTTTAAAAAAATCAAGACTGTGTTTGGTTATGGTAGTGTTGTAGATGACACTACAGGGCTTCATTTCCGTGAAAGATTTATAAATAAATAATGAAAAAATTAAAATTTGATAGATTTTCAGCAAGAACTGTCAAGAATAAAGTTATGCATATAACGGTGTTGATTAGTCATTCATTATAAGAAAGAATTATTCATTATTTGTCATATAAACAATTTCCGTTAATATTCCTATACATGTGAAGCATAAAATTTGCCTTGCATATACACAAGATTAAGTCATCAATGGATGTAATATTTTCCTAGACATATTTCTCCAACCACGTGAATTAAAGACTTGATGAGGTGACATAAAATTAGAAAGTGGCTCTTAGTTCCAAAAAATCTGTAGGTTTAATTTTAGTTAGTTACATTGAAACCGGGTGTTTAGATTTGTTTACTACTAAGTTTGTAATCAAATCACTTTTAGTATTCTGAAGAAACGGCTACAATTGTTTCAAGACTGACATTAAAATTTTTAATTATGTTCACTAAATACCGCTAAAAACAGAAAATTCCTTCTCAAAATTTGTTACGTTTGAAACACATTACTTAAACGCATACCTTTTAACAAATAAATTATCTTTTTTTGGTCAAAAATTGCTGGGTTTTTATTTCAAACATTGATTTTGTATGTTATACAAAAATCATTTCATTATGAATGGTCACTAACCACGAAATTCCTCTGAACACAGTGACATTTTGTAACACGTAAGATTTAATTTATTTGAAAATTGTCAGGTTATACAAAGATAATAAGTGTACAAGAATAAAAAAAAATTGATGAAACCTTATTTTCAAGCAAATATGTGGAAATAGGGTAAATAATTATTTGATTCTGTTGTAAGTTTCCAGGCGAAAGAGGATGGACTATGTTTTAGTCTTCTTGTGTTGCCCAAAAGTTTACTACAAATGAAATTTGGCATGAATATGCAAAGGAAACTTTACATTTTCTATTAGAAAAATATATTACATTATTTTAGATAACTAATGTAAATTAAAAATATCTTAAATGTAAAATATTTTTAACTGTCACATTTTTATCATATAAATTCTTGTAACTAAAGACAATTAAATATATGATGTTTAGAAAACACAACAAGGTAGAATAATTTATTTTATTTGTTCTCTGACAATATATATATATATATATATATATATATATATATATATATATATATATATATATATATATATATATATATGAATTTCATTTAAGACATTAAAGTTTGTTAAATCACTAGTATCAAACAACATGAACTTATTTCTCTGACTTTTTCACAATTTTGACAAAGATTAGGTAGAGTTGATAAAAAGTGTTTCATGTTACATGAAACCTGATATTTCATTAGGACTGCTTTATTATTATCAAAATAAATAATTTCATTTTAATTTTTGAAAGTTCAACTTCAATCAACTGACTCTGAAAATTTATTAAATCAAAGTTGATTTCATAAGGTCTTGTGAGATTTTTATATTATTAACTGTCATATTATGTATATAGTATAAATTGAGTATTATATAGTCACTCATCATTTTTTTTCGATCATTATTACCTGTACTGCGGTTACTTTTCAATTTTATTGGAAGTAAGAATGAAATATTAGGAGAAATACTTCACAAAGTTTTCCAGTTTATGTAAAACATCTGCTCATTCATCCACAGTCTCAATAAATATCAAGTCTTTCTAAGTATTGTTATTTTTTATTGATATATGTTGAAAAAAGATAGTAGGAGATCAGCAACTACACTTTAGTTAGTAGGGATAAGCGGAAATGATTGTTCTGAATTACGAATTACTATTCAAAACTTTTCCTCAATGTACAATCGGATTGATTCACGCAGTATTTTTTAGTTTATTGGTAGTTGTTGACTAGGGTTTTTGCGAAAATTGGATTGCTATGTATGGTAAAATATTCTGTTTCGTTATGTCGGCAAGAATAAACCATCACTACGCCGAAAATCGCTAATGAATGGAATGAAATGCTCAATAGAATTATAAATATTCATTTAGATATATTAGCTTATCATATTATGTCCCATGGTTACTACTATGTCATTCAGTAAGTCCCTAAGTGAGTAGAATATGTTTGCTTATATTGCAAACTACAAGAAACTCGCAAGTGGTTAGTTAAAATACTATTCATTGACAATCTGTAATGCAGTTTAACTTTCTCATGTGTTCCACGAAGGTTAGATCAACCATAGTAAAAGTTTGATATCAAAACATTTTTTTCGCAGTGTAATCAATGCTTTTCATCACTTAGCATAGTTCAGACAGAGCCTGAAATCTGTCTATGATGCGATACTAACTATACAATGCTGAGAAATCCCATGAAATTATAGGGTTGTCATTTAAGAGTTTACAATTTTTAATGACTGTCTTACGTAATTAAACCATGAAATAACCATATTAGGATTTTCAAACTTCTAAAAAATTATCAGTGATGTATTAGTTTGATGTTTTCAGTGAGCCAAAAAAGCTATTTACATATCACTATGTGGATTAAATGAAATTGTCGAACGTGAATTTTTCCATAGTCAACTTTCATCATGAAACTGACTAATATTTTATGCTGTTAAATCAGAAAACCAATTAAGAATAGTCTACTCAGTATGGGATCCATAGTATTTCCTCTCTGTCTTCAGTTTTTGAATTTTTTGGCAATATAGACAAACAATTTTCACTACAATAGTGATATACACATATCAAACATTCTACTGTCCGATTTTCGTTACGTCATTATTTTAGACTTGCGTGTGTTGTTGGGTATAAAAAATTATGACTATTTACTGAATTACATTGTTGTTTTATGTTATACTGAAGATATACATGATAAATGTCTTAATTATGCATTTATTCAGAAGGTTTACGTGCCCATTGTATAAACCTTCATATAGGAACTTAACCACTGCAGAGCACAGAAGGAAATTTCGTATTCATTTTCAAGTGTTCACTAATCTCTTGAAACTCGTTGATAAAATAAAGTATTTTCTATGACAGTTCACCATTTCATAAATTATTTCGAAGATTAACCGAATGTCAAAACTTTCAATTTCAAAGCTAAATTTAATTTAATTTCGTCGAGAATAGTGTGTTTAAATCTAATATTTTGATTCTTATGGAAGTAAATGTCTGCATTATAGTGTTTCATAAAACGTACGAAGTAGTCTCGTGTATTCATGATTTTCGAAATGTACTGTATGATACAATATTCCACTTTTTACCGGATCCAAATTCCAACATTTATGTAATAGTGATAATCGTTCTCCTAAGAACTTGGAAATCAGTAATTTGTTGTCAAAAAATGTAAAATTATGTGGGTTAATCCTTTTTGCAAACAAATACTCTCATTATATTTGTTCAGGTAGAGTAATAATTTAATGGTAAAGCATCTGGACTTTCCGGCACCTGGTGACGAGCTCTATTTTTACTCCGTTTATTTTTACTGAACTACGATGACTTAAGTCTAAGGATGATTGGCCGAGATTCAAATGTATGAACGAAAATGTCACCGCGTAATTAACTAAATTACTACGTCTGTTCAGAAAATAGTTGTGTTTTTAGTTTTCAAACATTTGTTTCTCTTACAGGAAAATCAGTTAACTCTGGATTCATTAATTTACAACTAGTTTCTCGTTCACCTAATCGTTGCTTTGAGTACTCTTTTACCTGTTATTGTGATTGTAAATAAATTCAACGCAGTTTTAAAATATACATGTTGACCTGTAGAAATGTATCATGCTTATCAGTGTTTACTTTAAATAAAAATATAAGAAGACTTATCAGTTATTCTAGCCATTGAAACCTACCTTCTGTTCATTGTTTTTTTGTTTTTAATTTTCAGTTTAAATTTCCTTCTCACTTCAGTTCAGATTTGAAAGACCTCTTACGTAATTTAATTCAATCTGATTTAACACGACGATTCGGTAATTTGAGAAATGGTGTACAGGATATTAAATCGCATAAATGGTTTTCACATTTGGATTGGTTGATGATTTTCAAAAAAGAGGTAAACTTATTACACTTTCATGTTATTGTTGCTGTTTTTTCCCTAAATAATATTGTTGTACTTATAAAATAATTAGTCACAATCATTTCTGCTAAATGTAAAGAAATCATACCGTAATGTTTGATTATCACTAAATGTTATAACTCAAATCTCGACATGTGTAGAAAAATTAAATACCTAATTGACGTTTCGTCATTTATTATAAGCCACATTTCCGATTGACTGACTTATTAATAGATCATCATGTACACTTCTATCACTTACCCGTCCTTATTCTCAATAGTCTTATCATCTCTCAATCCTCTAGTCGGTCGGATAAGTGGAACAATCGATGGATACATCCTGCATGGCAGCGAAGAAATCTTGCTTCCTTGTGGTTTGGTTAGAAATTATTTAGTATTTGTTAATTAACCACTAGTTTACCCTGAACAGTGGAAAAGGTTTTACTGGAGAGGTAATCTTCACTTAACTGAATAAAAAGACAAATACAGAAAACCATGTCAGACATTAAACACGTATGTCTACGCAATTCATTACAGGTAGTACAATTCAGTTCTGAGACTATGGAGAAAGGTAAGTGAAACAGTGTCACAAAAGAAATGAACTAGTCACGATTGTCGACTCATAAGACGATTAAGTGATTGCCATTAGTTAACTTGAACTATTTCTCTGAATTTATTTATTAAATAAGAAATAAAAAATTTTCTTCTGGTTTTAAAATATAATAAATATATAAAATATTCGGTTAATAAGTATTTAAAGACTATAAAAACAACTTTCACTTAGACTTATGGAGATTACTGTTTTTACACATTTGAAATCATCAATCAATCATTGTTCGACCACCATTAGAAACCTGGAAGCACTGGACGGCCGTTCCGTCCTGGTATGGGACTCATCAGCGGTGCGCATCCACGACTCCTGCACCTCACAGGATTCGAACCCGTGACCTTCTGTATTGTGCGCGAACTCCTAACCATCGGACCACTGGGCCGGCATCCAACGGTGTTAATGTCTAACTCTGATTGATCTACGGATTTCGCGTGACCTCACCCATTTCGCTTTGGTAGTTACTGCCTACACCCTACAGGATGCGCACTGCTGATGAGTCCCACACCAGGAAAGAACGACCGTCCAGTGCTTTTAGGTTTCTAATGGTGGTTTAACAATGAATGATTGATGATTTTAAATGTGTATAAAAATAATGTTGATGCGTGTAAAATTATTTTTCTCTCTTTTTGATTTTGTTAGCTCATGTTTATTTTCCTTAAATAACCGTTATAAAGTTCGAATTTTTTCTAACCATAACACTCGTAATCACATTTTCTACATCTGTAGCTGATAATATAAAATACAAACAATAATTTACTGTAATCAATATTTATCACACTCTTGTAATCATTAATCTCAAAATTTTTATGACATGGCTCAAAAGTAGTCTCAACAGGGAAAATGTGCTTTTTTCCCTTATCTTTTCCTAAATTCAGAGTTTGAAAATCATAATTTTTTTTATTTACTCTGCCTTATTTTATTTATTTCTGCCGCCATTTATACTCCTATCATTTTATTATTCATCGAGAGAATTTCAACTCGATAGTATTATAAAGACGTGACAACTTCGAGTGGTACAAACTTTTGTTTCTGAGGTGCTTATGACTAACTAAATTACGACACATAACAACGAGATCTTCACTTCGTAGAAACAGTTAAATTTAGTGTTATAAATGTTCCTCATATGGTGAGTGAAAAAACATTGATAAATAATCAGACTGTAAATAATCATAATGATAGTGAGTATTCATGAATCATCAGAAAAAAGTGGTTGTTGCTGACACAATGTTTTTAAATGCATGAATTATGTAGAATTCTTATTTGGACAATCCGATTTCTGTTAATTCCATTTTAATACATCTCAATGAACCAGTCATAATGTACTTTCATATTTTACTGATCCTTTCGTAGGTTAGTCGTTAAATTATTTCTGTATTGTGTCTTTGACTTGAGTAAACCTTTGTCATAAATAGTCATCATTATGTTTCACTGTATACAATAAAAATGTTCTATAAACAGTATTTTTGTGATTTAAATTTAAGTGAATAAACCTTAAGGATGCTAAGGAATTACTACCATGATCAAATACTATATAGTGACGTGTAACACAAACGTTTTATTAACCATATCGTTCTTCCAATACGACGAAAGCATAACTCTTCACTTTAATGAGTAGAATATCACTGACAACTGAAAATTTGCACTCAACCTGTAATTCTATCAACACCAAACTGAAGCGCATGAAATGTTACTAACAGGATTTTTAGTTTCATTTTTTAATAATTCAGTGTTATTCCAACAACTTTTGATAATCATATCCGCATCTCTTAAACCATTACACACTCCGCACTTTTATCAAACTCTATGACTGAACCAATCATTGTCACAAATGTTTTCTATGTAGTATCCCTATTCTCATTCAACTCCTCCCGGTCATATAACTGTAAGACATGTGTAACACGTGAAATGAGCAGTCATTGAAGGGTGAATCAGATATGAAACCACCACACACAACGCTAATCAAGAATCGCACACCAAGAGAAAACTCGAACTGGTAGCCACAGGTCTTTTATTTGAAAATTAAATTTCGCGCGTTTTGTACAAAAGGGATGGCCTATTTACAAAATAATCCTATGAGTTATCTTGTAAGTTCAGCGCAAGCAGGGCTTGCTGTTCTCCTTCTAAAACGTTTATCCTTGTTTGACTTGCAATAGAAAGAGAACAAACTCCACTAATAATGTCATGCACAGTAATTTCAACATTTTTACACACGTGTTCACTCAAAGTTTCTAAAGATTAATATGAGAAACCGCTAACTAAATAAAATATCTTATTTGACGAGTAAAATGTAGTTAGCAGATTGCCTAGAATTTACCATCATCAGATTTATGACTGACACTCAATCATGTACACGTTTAATTACAATCTTTAGAACTCTGAAAAATAATAAAATAAAGAGATTAGCTTTATAAATTATTCATTTCCACAAGTATCTTCCACCGTTCTAAATACACTTACAAATGACTTGAAACGTTTCAGCATTAAAACGTAAAAGAAACGTGTGTGTTCCGCTTAAACAACAAAAAATGTAATGATACTTAACTACTTTCAACATGATCGTAAATGCATTTTCAATCGTGTGACAAAGACAGTTACTTGACGTGTATACAAAATGTTAAACAATCTTTAGTTGATCACTACTATGTTTTTTTTTATAGTTTTGTTTGATAAATTGCTTAGCAAAGTGTATTTTCGTTTGACACTTATTCTTGAAGTGAATACAAATTTCGGCTATTTTATAAACAGGTGCAAACTTATTAATCAGTACAAATTGTAAATCATCCTTTCTAAGTAATGTGAAACCGTTTGAAACCACATGACGTTTACACTTCACTTTTCGGCCATTCATACATCAGCTGTTTTCGATCATATCTACTTCGAAGTAAATCAACTTAAAAGTGAAGAAAATATGAATGGTAAATTTGTGATTTTTACGTATATACACATTGTATTTCAGTGATTTAAATGTTGATGGACTGTAGCCTTAAAGAGTCACATTGAAATTAACTTGGTAAATATAAGTGTTGAATGTTTACAGAGTTCCGTAGTTTTTAAATTATTCGTTTTTGTATTATGCATTTACTTGAATGCTAACTAATTCATAGAATCTCCTATTTATTCAACAGTTCAAATTCCAACGTGAAATTCACTATCCACCTTAACCGGTAAACTGTTTTCTAACTATCACAAAGCTGAATGTTAAAAAAAAAACAAATTAGTCTGTGCTTTGAAGAACTATCATCAGTCTATCAACTTATCAATTGAAGTACTCATTAAAAGCATTAGGAGTTATTCACTTAAACATAGCTTCTGCTGAATGACTTTGACTTCCGTAAGTGTCTCATATATCTAGAAATAATTTGTATTTCTATAACAGCAAAAAATTATCTACTCCATTTATATTGTTGCCATATCGAACATAAGTTATGTATTTTTGTTCATAAAATAGATTTTTTTTAAATTGGAACTAAAACATACTTTCTGTAGTCATTAAATTTACCAGAAACAATCCCTATCAAAATGTTTGTAAATTTATACTTTTCTGTTTCATTAGACGCTAGGAAAGGTGATAAAAAAAATGATTTTGCATCTACAAGTTAGCTCGGAATAGTTTGATGGTCTGTTACAAATTACAGACAAATGAATCAACTCAATCTTAACATAGCTCCTAATTGGTTGGTCTTTTTTTAACACACTGATGATATTGGAATACGTTTTGTACATTATTTATTTACCAAACCGTTTTGATTGTTCTTATAAGCATTAGTTCAGTGTCTTTTCACTGTGTGATGAAAATGTATTGTTCTGTAAAGCAGTTTGTCAGTTTAACTAAGCAGCAAATTAGATTTATTTTTGTATTCGAATAACATTCACAACACTTGTACACTATTATCATAAACTAAAAAAAAAAAGCTACAAACTATCAAAAATGTTAATGTAGCAGATTAGAATAATTAATCAGAAGAAATGCATTAACCAAGCATATTTGAATAAATGTTTTATTGAATGATTAAATCAACTGTAGAGAAGCCTTCGTTAATGATATTAGTGAATTTGTGGCTAGTTAATTGAGATTATGAAACTAAGACTCTCCAGTAATATGTTTGATGATTCATATTTATTGTAGAATGTTAACTATATTATGCTCTTAGCGTCTGAGTGGTTTTTTTTGTCAGATCACAAGAAAAAATTTACATCTCTGTATATAGGTGGACCATAGTTTTGAAAAGGGATCACAACGTTCAAAACAGTTTTCATGTACTGATTTGAAATGGCATTACTTTTAATCTTACTAACAGCATTTGTTTTATATTTTCATGAAATCATCAAATAACATTCATCTAACCGTTTGATAGTTTCTTTGTTGGCCATAGTTGTTTTACTGATTG